TTCTATAAAACATTTCATGACAGTATTATAATATATCTAAACATTGAATTACAGTCCAACAAATAATCAAGTTGGATAACTGTAGAATTCGAGAGATCTGTAGATCCAATCTGCCACCTTTATAAATAGCTCTTCAAAAGATAAAATACAACACATTTTATGGCAACTAGAATTTTATTTGCATCTCTTTTAAAATGTTGTTATTTTAATAGTGACTAGTCTAACACTAAGTGTACATATTATAAAACATTTAATAAAATAAATGATAAAGTATGGATACAATTCTTTGATTATGTTTGTATTTTTAAAATGACATTTCACTACAGTATCTAGTCTTCGAACTCCAATCATGTGTCAATAATAAATGTATGTATTTAAATCCTTATTCATCATAAAGTTATGTTTGATGTATATGTTATGTAATTTCAGATACGAACCTTTGGTTGTGACTCTTCTCGTTTCTGCCTTCCAAGAGTGACTGAACGGATGTGGTGCACTTTACTTGCATTGTTTGTGAAGGCCACAGTTAATACCTTAATCAAAACATTATTAATTAGATAATTTTCAATTTATCTTGCAATTAAGATTACCAATTAATACCTGGCCATCGTAAGCTTCGTTGAATGCATCACGAACCATGTTCAAAGCATTGTACAGCAAGGTCAAAGCCTCTTGATAACTAGGTGAGTTACTTCCATACAAATCGTAAACCGGTTTTAAACCAGACATAACCAACCAATAAACATCAGGCTTGGAGTCTGGTTTGATTGCAGAAGGTGCTTTCTTTGCAATCGCATGCAGCAATTGCACTTCCTCAAGAAACTTTCTGTCTTCATCCTTTCGCAAATTCAATGCTTTCAAAGATGTTTCATTAATGGGTGTAGGTTTCAGTTCTCCTAGAGCAGACTGTCCCAACTAGATGCAATTCATACAAAAGTTACAATTTGTTGAAAATATTAAGCTATTAATTATTCTCGTAATACTTACAGCATCAACACCGTCGCCCAAATAGATTCTTACTAAGATATTATCGTCATCTCTTTCATCAAGACGTTGTCTGAAAGCTTGCCAAGTAGTTTCTTCACCTTCATTGACGTTTAAAGGAAATCTTGTACCTTTCGGTATATCTAATGAGTCTATTCCTTCTATTGCCATTACAACTACTGCTTCCGGAAGTCTAAATGGGTCTGTAATGGACATACCGTTCCATGTTCCTTTCTATAACAATAATAACAATTTATAGCTAAGACTGAAAATATTATATCCTTAATGTTGCACAGAGAGTGATAAACAAACCAGTTTTGCAGTATAACCCAAAGCAGCCGTGAATACTTCTGTAAGTAAACTCTGCTCTACTTCGCCTTGCCCATTGAACTGCACAGTGTTTGGACTATGGAGAACCACGAAGTCTCCATCTGCTTTCACTGTAATTAACAAAAAGAGACACTGTTTCATAAAATTGACGATGTTTTCACAAATATTGCGAAATTAATTACAATAGTCTTTAACAGTACTTTATTAAAATTGTTTTACTAAAACTGTTTTATTGTAGAATAATATTTAGACAGAATGTAATTATTGTTAAGCTTGTACAAAATTCATACCTGCGGCTAAAACAGCTACGATGCAAAAAAGTGTTTTTAACATTGTTTCCAGAGATCAATTACAAATTTGTGACACTCCCTACAACTTCGCACCAATTCACAAATTGATCATATGACACAAACGGAAGCGAATCTTTACTTTTACTTATAATGACTTGTGCTGTCGCATAGCGATAGGTATACGAACTTTATCCCTATATTAGGATAACTTCGTCAACTTTTGACATGATTTTAAAATATATTCTCGTGGGAATAATCAAACCTTTAAGGGCTCAAATTGAAGCTGGAAGAGCAAACTTCATGATAGATCCAGTTTGATTAAAAAAGATTTAGAAATCACGTCCAAAATCGATTTTTCCTATGAGCTATCTAGGGGAAAATGGCTTAACTTTAAGAGATTATATACATATGTACACAGTTCGAATAATTCGAATCGACTTTAAAATGTGTTCGTGTGGCAATTTTTTCACTTCTGAAGGCTCTAATTGAAGCAGAAAGAATTTGCTACCATTTTGGTTTAAAAACATTCAATGTCACACTGAAAAAACGATTTAAATTACCGACAGTCGATTTTGGCTAACAGTTTACGCGTTTTGTCGCTGTATAAATTGGCGCTATTCGGATGTTTGAAAGTAGCAGAAATTTCGTGCCGGATTTTACATTGCTCCTTATGGGAAACACGGCACGAAGTATTTGCTATAAAATTCAATATTGAAACATAAAACTGACAATTGTTTATAACTAATTAATGACAACTAAAATATGTGAAAAATAATTGCTGGTACGTTGCAGGAATATCTTTGGGATTTTCCAATTATAAAAGTGAAAAGATAGAAATTACAGTTGAAAAATCAATCTATAATTATTTCCTATATACCCTAAGAAGGATATACCTAATTCCTAGACTTCATCTGTGCTAATATATAAAATAATAAAACAGAAATTTACATTATCTACATCCGGCACCAGCAATAACAGGCGACGTCATTTGAAAGAATGAACTGCAAATAAATTGTTTGAACGATTTACCACTATGTGGATCTTTTAATTGTAGCAAATGATTCGTGCTGGAATTTACATCGTATCTTACGACAATGATAGAAAGAATTGTTTGTTCTGAAATGAAAAAAGATATATTTCGGTTTAATAAGTCGATTTTTTTGACGTGACATCGAACTTTCATTGAAACAAAAATTGTCCTATATTACAGTTGTTTTTCTTTTGCATTTAATTCGAGTCATCGACAGTTCAAAAACTCCAACGGGAATACTATTACAAAATTGATCTGAATTTTCTTCTAGAAATCCAATCATTTTTCCAAGTGTACTTGGGTTCATATTTATCAATTTCTCGACGCGGTGTAATATCTTTTTTCAAAACGAAACGATCCTGTTTTTAAAATATACTCCGTCAACTTCAATTCGAACCATCGATCGTTCGAAAATTCCCACGGGCACACATTTCAATATCGATTTGCACTGACCAACGGAAATGAAGCCATTTTTCTCGCGATAGTTCATTGGAAAAATCGATTTCCCGCCGTGACCTCACATTTTCAGCCGAAACCGAAACGGCCCCGTCGTAAAGCACGACACAATCTGTAACATTCTCTGTAAATATTCGCTCCCGTATACTATTATACGTACCGGGACAAACGTAATCGTTGTAAATTTGTTTTCGGACGCACGTAGCATCGATATTTCAGGTACCATGATCACGGAACGACACGAGATGATCAGTTACAGGGCGTGCAACCGACGGTAATCCGTGCTCTCGTTGCGGTTTGGGAGGAAGACGATTTACAGCAGACGATAACAGAAGCTTATTGCTGACCAGTGGCCTCGCTGATAAACCGGAAACTTGGCCAATGAGTGGCGCACGCCCGCGGCTGAGTTCGGTGATTAATGGGCCCCGGCGATAAGAAACGGATCGACGGTCTTCGACGTTCCAGCTATCATCCGATTAGTCATTCTGCCTCCCTTCTTCAACGTTAAACTAGGAATCGACGTTTACTTCCTCAATTTCCACCTTGATGATTCCAACTACGGTAATTTCTCCCAGAAATGTTCGGAGGCCGGAATCGAAACCGGCAGATCTGAGAATACAAAGCCGCGGTTCTTCGGGCCTCGGGGCTCGTTTTTATAGAAACCCGGGGCAGCCGGCAAAAACGTCAGCGGCCTGCATGCCGGTGTACATTAATACAAATACATAGAAATGCTAAAATAAAAACGACGACTTAACTGTTTTGTTCCGAATTTTATGCCACGATTCGAAGGCACTTCTAAAAACTTGCTAAAGAAAATTGGGCGAATGAAAAAGAGCTATAGCACGAAGAGAGACATCTGTACGAAAATAAATTAATAAAACATATTGTTAAAATATATTTAATTTAAAATGTTTCAGAAATATCGCTGGAACGATTACAGAAATGAAGAGACAGATAAATCGGGTAATTGAGGAAGAAGAAGAAAGTAATCCCTGAAACAATATTGCTGAGACTAATGTATAGTTCTCACGCGACAAGAAGGCACTTTTGTATTTCTATTTCCCCTCTTTACAATGTTCATTTTGATACAGGAATGCTTAACATTGCATCTATACAAAATTAAAGAGACCTCGAAAAATTCGTTGTTTATTTTTGTGATTAGGATCACTGTCTCAGAAAAATCTAAAAAAATTTATTCGCAATGCTTACGACGACATCTAACAGCAGAATTAATATAAAACTGACCTCTTGATATGTTCACTTCTTTAAGACGTGTTAAAGGCGACTAGTTTAGGTCGTAAGACGTTCACACTTAAGATGGATGTAAAATGGAAGTCTTTAAAGCGTCCGTTTTTATCTGGACTGCAAACATAATTTTCAACGTTGTCAGCTTGTTCGTCGTCGTTTGAAAAATATTCAGTAATTTTCGCTAATTATAGTATCCACTCGATTCGAAGTTAGGGGAAGGTCAAAGATGGCGCGCGTTCGAGCGTTCTCAACTTTGTTTAACTTGCTGTAAAAAGTTCGATGATCGAGGAAAAGCTATTGTACATATTATTCTGAAACTTTGTGGGCTTGTTCGTCGTTCTTTAAAGAGTATATACAGTGACTTCTGCTAATTATAATGTCCACCCAATTCGATGTTATAACTGTATCGAAGATGGCGTGCGTTCGAGCGTCTTCGACTTCGTGCGACTTGCTACGGAAAATTAGGCGGCTAGGAAATAACTATTGCACAAATCATTCTGCAATTTCCTTGATTTATTCGTCGTTGTTTAAAGTGTATACAGTAATTTCTGCTAGTTGTAGCATCTACTCAATTCGGAGTTAATAACTAGACGTAGATGACGCGCGTTTGGAACGTTTTCGATGTTGTGAAACTCAATATGGAAAATTATGCAATTAAAAAATAATTATGACACATATGAATTTGGGACTTCGTGGACATATTTATTATTGCTCGAACAATAGACAGTGGTTTTCGTAAGTCACTAAATTTCGCAAATTTGTAAAGTTACAGCTGGATCGAGGATGACGTGCGTGTCCTGCGTTTTCGATTTTGCAAAACTTGCTACGAAAAATTCAACGATTAGAAAATAACTATCGCATGCATCATTTTTAAACTTTATAAATTTGTGCAGCGTTGTTCGAAGAATACACACGAATATATTTTTACAAATTATAATATTCACCCAATTAGAGGCTCCAACTGAAAGATTGCAGATCAAATCCTCAATTCCAAACAATTCATAACAAAGTTGATTATAACAATATTTTGTAATACTGCTGACGTTCCCACCGTTCCACAACGTCACGATGATGTCCAATCGATGATGTTTCGTGCGAACGCGGCCTGAAAACCGTCGGAAAGCCGGTGACACGTAGATCACCGTCGGCATCGCAGCATCAGCATCAGCAACAAGTGTCCAAAGAAGTTTCTCATTGTGTCCAGTGAGAACCGGTCTATCTAGATCGGGTTTAAAAATCGATCACTACCGATGCGTTACAACGTCGCATCTCTGTTCCTTTAATCGAGACATTTACAGATTGAAGGTGTCCGTAACGCATTTTATCGTTTCTTGAGCAAATATCGAGTAAATATTTGTCTGAAATAATTATTCGAATTGCTTCGAATAAATATTTGTCTGAAATAATTATTCGAATTGTTTCGAATAAATTTGTCTGAAATAATTATTCGAATTGTTTCGAGTAAGTATTTGTTTCAAATAATTATTCGAATATATATATATATATATATATTGCCTAAAATAATTATTCAAATGAATTCTTTTTAAACAGATGTTTTATTCGAATAACAATAATTCATTACTCCGAGCAAGTTATTCCATTTATTTATCTGAATTAAAATTCTTCATTCTTCGTTTGAATAAATTATCCTATTAGAGATTGTAAAATTATTCGAATAACAATGAAAACAATTGATGGCCTTGTTTTAGTTTTACATATTTTGTAATAATACATTAATATAAATACATTCCGTTGTGTGCAATAATACATGCGTTTAGAATCGTTTTAATTTTCACTGCTCTGTTGATAATATTGTATAGTCCTCACTCGATATGAAGGTACCTTTGCGTTTACATTCCCCCTTCTACTAGCTGCCCCACTGCCACAGCTAGTAGGATATCCTAATATTTTCTTAATATTTCTTAATATTTTTACAACGACAATGGTTTCCGACGCAACACTCGCAAATGAAGTGAATTGTAAAAATTAACAGATAAAAAATTGATCAACGAATTATTAAAAAAAAACGCTTTATATTCTATTATTTTTATTCGAGTTGATTATTTTTTGAATTAATTCCTGTACGAATAAATACTTATTTGAATGAATACTTACTTGAATGTATACACTTATTTTTGAACGAATACTTATTTGAATGAATACTTACTTGAATGTATACTTATTTGAATGAATACTTATTTGAATGAGAATACACACACACGACGCTTACTTGAATGTACACACACACACTTATTTGAATGAATACTTATTTGAATGAATACCACTTATTTGAATGAATACACTTACTTGAATGAATACACACACTTATTTGAATGAATACACTTACTTGATTGAATGTGTGTGTGTGTATCCTTATTTGAATGAATACTTATTTG